TTGTGATTAACTTATATCAAGTACTACTATGAGACTCTATTTTTTCCTGTTATTGATAAGTGATACTGCAAAAATATCCATGGAATACAAAAATCCATGGAAAATGAAGTCCCTCAAATATAAGTTATATCTTAATATATATTGAGTTGATGCTACCCAAGAGTGACTGTGTCACTAAAATAGAAGAGTTTATTTGGGCATAACAGAAGGTATCTCATTAACAAGCTTCTATATATATGAGTTATTTCACTTAATGGCAGTGGGTTTGGTTTTGGTTATATATAGGGTTTGGGCTATAAACTACAGGTTTACCTACTTTATTGCTTTTTCTTCAATGAGCTAAAGTCCTTCCCTCTCTTACTATATAGGGGGAATCCCAAATCTCTCTTTTCTAAATACAAAAAATCCCCAGAGCATTGCACATGGGAAAAATATGACAATAAATGACAGGCTCATTTATTCAACAAATATTTATTGAGCATCAAGTATGTGCAAAACATTATGAAAGATGCTGGGGATGATACCAAGATATGATTGATTTCTGCTTTCCAGACACTTTCAACCTTGTGTATGTGATAGCACAGGTATATAATCATAGCAGTGCTTACCAAACTCTAAGAGTGGTACAGAAGAGAATAAATATAGTTCATTAGCTTTATCTAAAATTTAGTATTTGAAATTAATTCTGAAGAATAGGAGGAAATGACTGGTGGTTTGAATGGATGACATATAGAGAGACATAACAAAATTATACTCTTTTGGTGGAGGGTCCTTGGAGGGGCATTGTAATAGCTAAACTTAGATTCATATACTGAAAGACATTCAACCATCAAGTAAGTAGTTGGAATTTTGTTCTGCAGCCATGGTGATCCAGTAACTGATTCTGAGAATGCTACGATTAAAAATTACCTTATGGAGTTTAACTTTATTCCAAATTGCAGCATAGATTGGAATAGAATAAAACCTATGGCAATCTTTCTCTCCCTTGACCATGCATAAAATTAATTGTGTCTTTTCATCTATTTTCCTTGTCTGCTATTACTGCTGCTTTCAGGTTCAGAGTTTTGTCCCTCTTTGTTAAATAAATTCACTTCTTACTGGCATAATTGATTTCTATTTCTGTTGTCTTCTATTTAGCCTAAACAGTGTGTTTAGATAAATACTCCTAAAACATGAACTTAATCATATAAGTATCTTATGTGAAAACATGAATTACAGCTTTTGTCCACAGAGAGCTGCCCAAACACTCACTTGTTCTTCCTACCTTTCACAGAAGAGATTCTCTTCTGCTTTTTTTTTTTTTTTTTTTTTTTGCTTATCTCCTCAGTGTCCAATTAGTTCACATTTGCCTTATTTCACATCATCTTCTCACTCATTCCTTCTCTCCTATGGAGTAATTCTTCTCTGATTCTTTCAACCATTCACACATGCCCTAAATTATCCCTTCTTTGTAAAAAGTTTTCCGACTATTTCTACCAATCTAAATCTCCCCAGCCTTTAATTTTTTATAATTATCACGGCCTAATTATCTCTGTCTCTGCCTCTCTCTTTATTTCTCTCTCTTTCTCTCTCTCTCTCTCTCTCACACACTCACATACACACACACAAACACACACATGCACATATCTTGGCTTTACAAGCAAATAACCCGAATCTGTGTTTTAATCATTATATCTTATTTTTGACAACAAACAATACTTTTCTGTTGGAACCAGGAATAGATTACCCAATAAGCAAGGTAAGGATGGGATTACTTGTCCTTTACTAATCTGTAGTGAACAAGATGTGGAAAAGCCATGTGTAATTATTCATTACAAATTAGTAAGGAAGCATAAATAAATCTTTGCTTACTTGGCTTACTGGGTACTCCAACATTAGTTGAAAAATAAAATGAATTTACCATGAAATAAAGAAACCTACACTGTTACACACATGAAAAAATTTGCCCAACTTTCTTTAAGAGGTTCTGCTTGTTTGATTTTATTCAATGTGGGATCAGTAGCCCAACTATTATCCATAGTAAACAGAATACCTCAAACAAAAAACAAACTTCCAGCTTGACTCTGTATATTTGCTTATTGAAATGAATAAAATGAACATAAATTTTGTGAATAAAGATGTTTTTATAGGAAGTCATTTTCTACTATGATTCTGAAATAAATCACAAAATTGAGCATATCAAACTTTTCCATTTTATTTTAAAACCCTTTTTGCCCAAAACCTCATAGGTTATAAGATTGTCTGGTTTTTTTCCACATATTTGCTTCCCAGTTTCTTACTTTTGACAATTTTCAAAACAAATTGAATTCTCCCTGAAGGAGAAACACTGTGCCAATATTTCAAAGAAGTTTGCTACACATTTTAAAGACAATTCCAAGTGAGGAATTACAAGAGTTTTTGTATGATGGTGGTTATAATTGTGATAAGTGTTTGGCCTTCTAAAATATCTGTTTTGGTAGTATGATTTAAGAAGGAAAGATCCTATTAAAATTTTTGCTACACTAGTTTATAGCTATTCTTTATCAATAGAAAGCTTTGCAAGAAACATCCAGTTTTATGGGATGTGGAAGTATCACTTCCTGGGCTATAATAAAGAGTTCTGATGCAGCCTCATACAACAAGTAGGAAGAGTCTATATTCAGAACCACCTCCTTCCAGGGATATATAAGGGACAAGTCAAGTGAGGGGCACAGTCAAACTTCAGCAGCTTGATTCTTTCCATTCAATCACAGTCTGCTCTGGAAATCTTACCATGTCTTGCCACAACTACTGCTCTGGAAACTACAGCTCTGGATCCCTCAGAAACGTCTGCAATATTCCTGTCACCTACACCATTGCCCTCTGCTCTACCAATGTAAGCAATGGAGAAGCTGTCTGCCTACCTAGTAACTGTCAAGACAATTCCTGGCTCCTGAACAATTGCCAAGAGACCTACAGTGAACCTACAAGAGACAACTGTGGTGAACCAACCAGCCACCAGCCAGCCAACTGTGATTCCAGGAACTATGAAGCCTCTTGCTGCCCTTCCACGGCTCACTATGTACCCAGACCCCGTCAAGGAACTGGCTTTCTTCCTGTGTCATCCTCCATCTCCGCCTCTTACCTCCCAGTATCCTGTAGACCTCTGAGCCGTGTGTCCAGCAGCTGCCGTCCACTGAGTCCTTTGCTCTACAACAGCCATTCCTTAGGCTGTGTACCTACTGGCTATCGACCACTAAATCATTTGTCCAACAGCTACCGACCCCTGAGCTTCCTCACGTATGGATGCCAACCCTTGGGTAGTTTGCCCTGTGGTTCTCAACCATTTCGTGTTGTGTCTAGCAGCTTCATACCTCTGCGGCCTTTCTCTAGTGATTGTCAACCTCTGACCCATATTTTCAGTACTTGTCGTCCATCTTGCACAGCCTTGGAGTACAGGTAGTCTGCTTTTCCCAGAGAATAATCATGCTGAGAATTCCAGACCAAAATTCATATTCTGCTTATTTTTTTGCTTCTTTTCAACAGTAATAGTTTTTTTTTTTTTTTTTTTTAGTTTACTGTGCCTGATCAAATGCAAGCTGCTCATTTCATATCTTTTTATTCTTTTCATCTCTCTTTAACATAAAATAAGTGGTTTGTTTGCTATTTAATATCATTCAGATGTGGAAAAAGTATTTGGCCTACAATGTAATAAATTAGATTAATCTGACTCATTCATGTGTCTTTGGTTATTTTCTGTTAACACAGAAATTACTAACCTTATCTGCTTACAAGATATGTGAATAGGACAGGTGATATACAACGATATGCTCTTTCTTGACAATAAAGGAATAGCTTGATGGCTTATTCCTCAGGCTGCTTTATATATCTCTGATCCCATGTACTTGAGAAATACAAAAAACAATTGATGGAGTTTATTTTGATAAGGCAAGATTAGGAATCATTTCCCTTAGTCAACTCTATGTTGAAGAGAACACACTTCCTCCAGAATGTTCTTTCAAATTGCTAACTAAACTACATTTCATTCTTCCTTAAACCTTTCATGGCTTCATAAGATAAAACCCCTTATCAGGAGATCTGGGTTCCTTCATTGTCTTCTTTCTTCCTGCCTCTCTGGGTTCATGTCCTTCTGTTCAATATCTCCGTTGCTACCAGTTGATGCCAAGTTAATTCTGACTCATAGTGACCCCATGTGTGTCAGAGTAGAATTGTGCTCCATAACATTTTCAGTGGCTGATTTTTTAGTAATAGCTTTCCAGGCTTGTCTTCCAAGGTGCTTCTCAGTGGACTTAAACCTCCAACCTTTGGGTTAGCAGCCTACTGTCTTATCCATTGCAAATACTAAGACATCTTATTACTTAACTTACAAGTTCTCAAGCTTTTTAAAATTCCCCACCCTTTTGCATGTGCTACCAGAATACCAGAATGAGATTCACAAAGTTCATTAGTCCTCTGCTGGATATATAATTTGTTTTTGACATTTTTTTTTTTCTTCTAAGGTTTTATATCTCATTCCATTGCCTTCTTGCCTCCACATTTTCTGCCAAGAAATCAGAGCTTACTCTTATTGTCTCCCCTTCATGATAACATTTTCTTTTTCCTGAGTTACTCTCAGGATTCTTTCTTTGTTTTTGGTATTGGAAAGTGTGAATGTCCTGGTTACCTAGTACCACTCTGACAAGAATATACCACAAATGGGATGGCTTTAACAAACAGGAGTTTATTCTTTTACAGTTTGGGAGGCTAGAAGTCCGAGTTCAAAATGCCAGGCTCTAAGGGGCTGTGTGAAAGCCCCTCAACCTTGGGCTTCAGCTCTGCCTCTTGCTCCTGGCCCACTGAAGCTAGAGGTATTTCTTCACTCAGGCAGCTATTGGCTGCTGAAGCTACAAGCCGAAGGTTGACAAATAAAACAACACAGTCCCAATGTTACCAAACCACACGCAGGCCATTAATTCAAGTCCATTGAAAGTCCCAAGGTCAGCAGAGCATGGCAGACTGCTGAACAATGACATGGCTACATGCAGGGTCCAATC